TTAGAGTTGAGCCTGAGTATCACATTCGAGTCGGAAAATCTCGCATATCGAAATTGTACCGTCGTTGTCTACAGTATTTGAGCCTGATAGAGATGTATGGATGGTTGCATAGATGCGAACATATATATGTATTTGTCAGCAAGCCATAGGATAGGGCAAATTCCTTCTTGCTAGGGCCAGGCTATGGCAGTCAGTCATGGCGGCCCGGTGNTGGACTAGAGAATCACATTAGAGTTGAGCCTGAGTATCACATTCGAGTCGGAAAATCTCGCATATCGAAATTGTACCGTCGTTGTCTACAGTATTTGAGCCTGATAGAGATGTATGGATGGTTGCATAGATGCGAACATATATATGTATTTGTCAGCAAGCCATAGGATAGGGCAAATTCCTTCTTGCTAGGGCCAGGCTATGGCAGTCAGTCATGGCGGCCCGGTGTCTCGCGCACGACGGTCAGGTTGATATTGAACGTAGACGAACGAGTGTAAATTCCGGCTTTCTTTGCGGCCAACAAACAGCACAATGAGACTGCAGACCACCTTGCCACACACATTTGCGTGCCATGACGACGGCGCGCTGTCACGCACTCAAGTCATGGGATTGGGCACACTCCTTTTCGGTAGGGTGACGCTATGGTAGTCATGGTGGCGCGGTGTCATGCAGGAGTGTCACGTTTGGCGCGGTCGCTGCCGCGGGTAGGTCGTGTACTGGGCAATCAAATATTTGCTGAGAAATTTGTCCGACATCAACGTCATCCACCTGTCAGGCCTGTCACAGGTGGTCAGAAAAATTTCAACACCAGCCCACAGCAGTAGTAGGTGTAGTGTCAAGTGTGTGGTGTTTACGCTCTGTTTCCGCCCGCCCGTGGACGCACACGTCTGACGACAGTTATATCTATCAGCTGTCCCTCGTTGTAGCGACAGCTATCCTATCTTTCTACGTCATGGACCATAGTCAAAAGCGGTCCAACTTTTGGGTAGTGTGCTTCTTGGGGTGAGAGGTTCAACGACTACAGCAGCATATTACAACCACCATACGTAGATGGGGTCCGCACACCACCGAAAGGAGGAGTGCAGCATACGTTCCAGAGCTCCAACAAGGGGAAGGACAAGCACCGCCTCGACTTCATCCTCATGCGACAGACGGACCGGCGTCTCGTACGTAATGCCTCCGTCAAACGTGTCGATTTCAAGGACTCTGACCACAACCTGGTGCATACGACTGTCCGCTCCCCCCCCCGTGTCGCACCCAACCGACGAACCCGGGGAAACAGCGGAAGCAGCCGGATCCGTATCGACCTCGAACGGTTGAGGAAGGATGTGCACCTACGGGCCGTCTTCCAAGACAGGGCTCTCAACCGCCCTCCGCCCACGGCCCTCAGCAGGCCAACGGGAGAGACCGCCGCCGAGCTCACCGCTGTGGTGATGTCGGCCGCTGCGGAGATCGCGCCGCTGGCGAGGAGCGCACGAGGGAAGGGAGGATGGTACACGAGCGAAGCGCAGCACGAGATTTCCGAAGCGTCTAGGGAGATAAGAGTGGCCCAACAGCAG